CCAGGGTGAAGGTCAGCCAGGTCCTCACATCTAGACATGGTGGCCCTAGTACCTCAGTTCATGGGACACTTATATTTTTCCCCTTACCCAGCTGCAGGCTGTTCCTGCCAGCAGCCTCAAAGCTCCCGACCTGTTATTAAAACAGCCTCAGAGAAAGTAAACATGACCAATGGAAAAACAAAAAATATCACCCAAATTTCTAAGGAAACCATGAGCTACATCCAGCACAGATTTTTCAAAAGGACAAGGATTTTCATGGCTCAGCGTTCTAATTTGTTTGACCGTTTATTTCCAAGGAACACATCCAAGAGTGACAAGCTCCATTTATTTCAATGGGCAGCATATGCCAGCAACGTGAATGGCGTACGCTGTAAAAGAGAATGGATGTTCTCAAGCATCCTGGAAAGCTGTCCTTTCAGCAGACAGAGGACATGGAGGTAATAGAAGTGCAGCTCTGCTCTGACAAGCAACACCATAAAAGCACCATCCTGGCTTCTCATGTTTGATGTCTCCCCACAGCAGACCTGAGAGATTTGCTCAAGCTGAAAGTGAAAAATTATTACCTAATATCTGGCCCAGTGCTGAAGAGAGCAGCTGGATTCTTTCATTGTTCTACTTTTCTGGGCCATAAGGACATCTCCTTGGGACATATGGCTACTTCAGGGTGTTAGTGCTTCACCCTTTTAGACTTTTAGAGGCTACCCACTAACCCAGACTATCCTCACAAATGACATCACCTTCAAAGCATTGTCTGATGTGAATATTAGATGTTCACACAAGAAAGTGCCTTCTATTCATAAAATACCATCACGTGGCAGCACTGTTTTCTGTCTTGTCTCTTTGTACTACACCCTGAAGACAATCCTCTTCTCAATCTTGCCTTTCCAAAGTCTGATTCCACTGAAGCCTGAAAAACTGTGAGTTGTGAGTCTCTCTCACAAATTCAGTACCACCTAGAACTTGATATTGTGTGGTGGCCTGTGACACTTTACTGTAAGTCTCACAGGAGTGGGCAACTTTTATTGGCTATCATTAATGAATTAACTAATATTAGTTCTGTGTTAGGACTTACCTAGGGAGCAGTCTAGTTCATTAGGTTTTATTGGTTTGTCAGCAAGCATTGGAAGTCAAAATAGAATGATTCTCATCTTGCTTCTCAGTAAGATGGCCCCAACAAAGGTTGGGTTTGGCTTTGTTCATACTGAGTCTTTCTCTGGACACCTTTCATTCTCATTAAACTTAAGAAGTTGCTGGAAGGAGCAGTGTGAGCTGCGGTGCTGTCCACAGGAATCCACTTCCCCTTCTTCTGTACCTCCAGCCAGGCAACATCTCAAGCCAGGTAAAGAAGAAGAAATGTTCCTGACTCCCTTACAGCCCTCCAGCATGGCAAAATGAAATCCCAAATTCTCCTTCAGGAGATTCATGTCTACCTGTGCTGCAAGGCTCACTATCCTAGATTTAGTCTGCAGTAAGGCCACAGCCATACAATACCCCTGGATGCCCATTGTACAGGCTGGAGACCCTTGTTGTGAGACTGTTTTTCCTATTCACTTTCTCTTCAGCAGGTGCAGCTTGTAGGTTGCTGTTTCACCTTTTCTGGAGAAGCCAAATCAATGCTGTTCATGCCATTGAGGGCATCTTTGAAACCGTGTGGGAATCTTAGCTTGCCTTGAGGCCAGTGAGATGCTTAGTGAAGAGGCCAACCATAGACTTGTGGCTGGCTCTGTGGGTATTTGGGGATAAACCATAAGGTGGCTTTGCATCTATGCAGCTTCCTTTGGGACCATGCTGATTGCCAACATGCTGGTCTCCACTTGCTATGAGCTATTTCCAAGGGAAAAGACAAAAAATGGTTGAGGGAGAGCTACAGTCATCCTTCCTTTGTCAAAGTGGAACTTTTCGTTTCCATCAAATCCACTTTTGTTTCTCAATTTCTGGTTGTTTCAGGTGACTTCCACGCCTGGGCCAGTTGGCCCCATGTATGTTGAGCTCTCAAACCCAGCCTCTTGCTCCAGGTGTGAGTGGTGAGAGTCAGGAGAGCTCTCTGCTGGAAGAATTTGTCCCTGCTTCTGGGCTTTGGGGCTTTATTAGGTCAAAGAAGAGCCAGGCTGTCAGTTCCAGCATTTCTGACTGGCATTTTAAAGCTAAAGATACAGATTACACCCTGGGTCTTGCAGTTGATGTGAGAAGATTTGCAGCATCTCAGCAGAGAGGTTTGGGAAGACACCCCAGGCCTGTCATGCCCAGGGCAATCTAGGATCCTCTAGATTTAACACATCTGGTAGTGGAGCAGTGGGGTAATAGAATCCCAGTAACCAGTGCTTTACAAGGTGTCAAAAATGTCCATCATAACTGAACAGCCTTGTGAAGCAACTGTGTGGTCTTTTCCTGAAAATTAAAACTAAAAAGCAAGCCATATGATGACAGCATCTGTAGCAGAGAGCAGGGTGGCTTGCATGAATTAGCAGCTTCCTGGCTGTTATCTGTGGCAGCCTTAGCCAGCTACTTCTTCCATCACCTGCAGCTTCTGTGGGCTGAGGCCTCAGACTTACACCTTGGGGATCACTGCAAGCCAAAGCCCCCAGCACTGAGCCACAGTCAAAAAAGAGCTGGAGAAGGTCTCCTCCACAGCTTTCTCACTGAAGTCTGGGATCGTGGCATTTGATGGAATAGGATCTTGGGTCTGGGAATGTGGAGCACAGTGGCCTTGAACGGCTCAGATCCTGATCTCTAAAGAGCCCCTGTGAAGGTTACCAGTAAGGTGGCTATCTGGGGATGTGCCACAGCCTCAGTGACTTGCATCCGAATCTTCCTGGCATGTCCCAATGAAGGCAAGAATAGATTAGTCAAGAATCTCCAGAAGCCCTGCTGAGATCATGTTGGATATCCATGGAACCAGTGCCAGTATGTGGGGTCAGAGCAAGTGATAGCCTCCTGCTGCCTTGGAGACTTGTTATGGGTAGGGGAAGAGAGATAAATCCCCAAATTTCCCTGGAAGAAGTGCTCATTAGGATCCACTTTCAGGCATTTCTTTCCCAGGTGGGCCAGGTGTCATGCAGGGGGTTATATTCTGTGCAACAGTATCCACCATTAAAAAAAAATAGACAAAACCCAAAATTACTCAGATATTACTCAACTCATTCTTGTTAAGGTCCTGTAAATCATATCAAGTGCAGAACCTCTCCCCTTTCAGAGATCTTCCAGCCTGTTGCATATGCATGACGCTCAGGAATCCCTGCAAGTGTCCTCCTACCACCTCTCCCCTGTTCTTCCTGCTGATGGGACCCAGAACAACCCACTGAGCTGCTGGTGAGCAGCAGAATCAGTTCTGCTCTGTCTTACCCACCCCTCCTGCTGTCCCTTTCTGGGGGCTCCTGGCACAGAAAAGTCCCCATGGAAGAAGATGATTACACCCAGAAAGGTGGCCATGGCACCCATTTGAAGGGATCTGCAGGGAGGGTAATGGGGATCAGAGCAGAGAAGGCACTGCCATCTGGCAGGGGCTGGAGCAGGGTGACAGCAAGAGGAGTCACTTTGGTCACAGGCATCCCCTGACTCAGGCACGAAGGGGCCTGGCTCCATCCAGTCTCCTGAGAGCAGAAAAGCCACAGACTCATGGCTGACTCCCTCGCCTCATTGTCTGTGCACTGGAGCAGGGAGGGCAGGAGGCAGAGGGAGTGAGGGAGCCCTTTTGTCCCCCTGGCTCTGACAGGTCCGTGCCTGCCACGCACTGGGATTGGGGGTGGGTGGGAGACAGGGCAGGGGGACCGCCAAAATAAACGAGCTAAGAAAGCAGTCTGATGATTCTCCACAAGCTTGGTGTACATGATGCAAATTGATGTTTAAAGCTTATTTATTAGCTTACATGCGAAATGCCAGCGGTGTTTTTCTAGATCAGTGGGTATCCAATATTTGGGCGGGGGGAGACGACGGCAGTGGGAGCGAGCATGGCTAGAGACTGTATATCCAGAGGCTAGGGTTTATATCATGGGCTGCTCTCGACTGTTATAATTTGTGGCACAGATTCAGCGAGAATCTGATCTGCTGAAAATATTTGGGCTGTGAAAACTCCCACACTGTGACAGATGTCAAGTCCAATTAAGTGACTCGTGTCCAGGTTTCTGTCCAATAGGCTTTCCCATTAAATACCAATTTAAGAGGGAAAAAATGCCGCCCCCTTTTCTCCGAGCCTTTATCTCTTCCGACCATCTCTAGGCGAAACCCTTTGGTACCAGAAGTGGAGCCACACGCATCTCTACTCCGTCTGTCTGTCTCGCCCCTGCCACCTTCCGCACCCCTCCTTGGCTTCTTTGCCGCTCCGGGAGGGGTGGGAGGAGGAACTGCACTTTCTTTTTATGCATGTGAGCGTACCTTGTCCTGCACCGCCGTTATCTCTCACAGCCGCTCCGAACCCGCGCCGAGATTTTCGTTTATTTCGTTTTGTTTTTCTTTTTCAGCGTTCGCATATTTTCGTTTATTTTTCACTCGAAAGATGCAGGAGGAGTTAGGAAGCTCAGGGACGGATGGGGGTTTTGTTTATCCTTTTTTTTCTCCCCTCGCCAGTTCTTGAAGGACCAAAAGAAGAACTAAACCAAACATTCATTTTCCGACGGCGTCTCCCCAGCTCCTGCCCCTCTCCGCCGGACCGGTGAATTAACAAACCCTCACGTTACAACCCCCACCCCCCCTCCCAAAAAAAAAAAATAGAGAAGAAAGGAGGGAGCGACGCATTGTTACCCCGACCCGCGGCGTGCCTGCGCGCCGGGCCGCGGCGGAACAAAGCCGGCAGCGCCGCGCCGGGCTCCGCGCTCCGGGCTCCGCGCCCCGGGCCCCGCCACCGGCCCGGCCCGGCCCGGGAGCGGCGGGGCTGCCGCAGGGAAGGAGAGGCTCAGGGGGCGGGAGAGGGAATAATCCCGGACGGTGCCGGTGCTGTCGCCGCATCCCTTTTGTTATTTATCGCGGTCGGGGAAGAGGAGGAAGAAAAGCGGGGGAGAGGGCACTTTCCTCCTCTAAAACCGACCGGCCGAAGCCGCCGGTGCGCTGAAGCCGCTGCCCCGGACAAGCGGGCGGAGGAGGACTTTGATGGGGAAACGCTTTTTCTCCCCTGATGCATCGTAAGTAACTTAAGTTGATATTTATACTCCGCAAACAAACACGACAGTATAACATCTCCCATCTCTGGAGCGCTGGAGGCCGCGGCGAGGGATGAGATCTGCCTTTCCCCATTCGAGCAGGACACTTTTTCGCTCGTAATTAATTTTATTTGATTTTGATTTTTTAATTTTTCCATGCTCCGCTCCCGAAGGGTCATTTGAACTGTAAAGAAATCGCCGAGGGGGCGAGGGGACCTGGACAGAGAGGCTATCCAAACGGCTCCGCCGAGGTAAGCAGCCTTAACAATATCTTTCCCTTTTGCAGGTAGCAGGGAGCATGGGTTTACAGTAATAATAATAATAATAATAATAATAATAATTTTTTAAAAATAGAGACGGGGGAGGGGGGAAAGAGCCTCTTTCCAGATCAGCTCGCCAAACCTCACCGTACAGATAAATCCAAATCAAAGCGAAAAATTCAACACACACCGTTAGAGAAACCTATAAGCAACTTTCTTCAGGAATCACCGCTTTAATTGCCCGTATTCGTACAATCAGCCTGCAAATCCTGCCTCTCTAACCTGCTTTTTGCATAAGCCCCCTCGCTTGGGTGCCAGTTGAAAGGCGATTTTAAACCTTTCCTCTGTATCTTTTTGCCCCACGAGATCACTGATACCTGACTTGCGCGCTAATGGGGTTTTTTCCCTACCCCTGCCTTGTGGGCCTGATTAACGCTCCTTATTAAAAATCGAAGAAGAAGCGTTTCCGACGGCCCTGGCAAGAGACGGCCCTTTCCCAGAGAAGGAAGAGCTCTCGTCTCCCACTGCCCAGCCCTGGCTGCACCTCGGGGAGCGCTGAGCCTCGGCCCGCGGCGGAGCCCCGGTGCCCCGCCACGCGTGCCCCGCGCCTCGCCCCGCTGGGGCAGCTTGGCTCTACCCCTGCCTGGGGAGAACTCCTCCTGCCCATGTGGTTGCTGTTGTTATCATTACCACAATAATAGTTTATTTTTCCGAACCGGATCTGAGGCCCGACTGGGACTTTCCCTGGAAACTTTATGTGGAAATAGTTTGCAATCTTAATTCGGGGGAAGGGGGGATGCGATGTTCCCTCCCCACTTCGCTCGACACCCCAGCTGCACACACGCACGCACACACACACACACATTTGTGTCCAAGGTTATTCACTAGTTGCCTGATGTATTGTTTTATTACATGCCGGCATGTCCACGGACGCGCTCGGATTTGTATTGCTGTCTACATGACAGATGGTGCTCTGTGAGGCCGCAAGAAGATACGATTCAATTTTCTTTTGAAAGGCACGTCCGCATTTATTTATTTATTTATTTAGCCTCCCCCTCTTTTCGCGCAGGGAGGGGAGAGGAGGGAAAATTTAAAGGGATGGAAAAGTTCGGCCTCTGCTTTGAGGTTTTGTTTCTTTTTGAATCCGACGCTTAGAAAACGGAAACTCTCCAAACATTCCCATCTGATCGCTAGCAAATCGCTATCTGCACCATTAGCATCAGGAAAGGAAAGAAAGAAAAAGAAAAAAAGAAGGAGCACAGAGAAAAGAGCAGAGGGAAGAGCCTAGCAGATACATCGGATCCCGTAGGGATTGGGGAAATAAATCTCCCCACTGGCCTTGTTATATTTGTGGAGCCTTGAGCTGTGTATTTAAAAGTATCATGTCTGTAGCCTGGATCCCATAGAGCGTTTTCGAAAGAGAAACAGTTGAGCAGAAACTGACAGGCTAGAAAGAACAATATTAAAATTGGGGGCCTGGACGGAGAGGGGGGCGGGGAATCACCATATTATTGGAACACTGGATATTAGCTTGCTTGGAAAAAAAAATTCCACTATTGCTCTCTGGGCCTGTTTCAAGACCCTAGGAAGCGCAGGGAATAACGGCAGGAAGTATATTCCGCTGAAGCTGCCGTCAAACGCTAGAGAAGGGATGGATAAATGAGGGTATCGTTTATCCCCGGTATTGCTCTCATTAGTACTCTCTGAAGGAGCTGCAACTCGTCCAGCCGGCTCTCCCCCCGCCCCGGTCGGGCGGTACCGGCGCCAGGGGCAGTGCGCGGGGACCGGCATGTCCCCCGTGTCCCTGCTCCCCGCCTTGCCCCTGTATCCCGGGGCCGGGGCCCTGACCCACTCTCTTTGCTTCTCTGTCTCGGGAAGGCTCCTCCGCCCCCTCCAAGATGATGCTTAGCCCGGACCAAGCTGCCGACTCCGACCACCCCTCCTCGGCGCCCTCCGACCCGGAGTCCCTGGGCGGCGCGGACGCCCAGGCGCTCAGCTGCTGCGTCTCCGACCCGGAGCCCGCCGAGGGCGGCGGCGGCGAGGGCCGGGGCGGCGGCGGCGGCGGCGGCGGCGGCGAGGGTCGCGGCGGGGGCCGGCCCGGGCTGCACCCGCCGCCGCTGAGCCGCGAGGAGAAGCGCCGGCGGCGCCGCGCCACGGCCAAGTACCGCTCGGCGCACGCCACGCGTGAGCGGATCCGCGTGGAGGCCTTCAACCTGGCCTTCGCCGAGCTGCGCAAGCTGCTGCCCACCCTGCCCCCCGACAAGAAGCTCTCCAAGATCGAGATCCTGCGCCTCGCCATCTGCTACATCTCCTATCTCAACCACGTGCTGGACGTGTAGCGGCCGGCGGACGCGCGGAGCCCCGGGACCCCCAGCCCCGCTGCCCCGGTCCGGCCGCGGCGGGCAGCGCCTTCCCCGGGCGGGCGGCGGGCGGGGGGTCCCCGCTGCTGCGCTCTCCCCGCCCCGGACGGCTCCCGCCCGGTCGAGAGCCCGCTTTTCGAAGAGAAGTGTAAAACCGGATTGTCTCTTCAGGCTGTCAAGTGCCCCTTTATATATATCCAAAAACATCTACTTGTGACCTTAAACGTGTGACCCATGGGTGCAGTTAAAAATAACTATTTTTTATTTATGGTAGAAGGAGTCGACAATTTATTTTTTTCAAGATTTATTTATTTTTCAGAGTGGTGGCAATTTTACTTTGGATACTTCGTGCCAATTGGTTTCTATAGTCGGGTGTTTACACTTTCTCCTGTGGAATATTATGTTTGACTTTATGAGTGTTTGTTGGGATCAATACAGTGTTCATTTTATTTTATTTTTAATTTATTTTCTCCCTCCAATTATATTGCACTTGTGTACCACAAACCTCCCCTCCCTCCCTGTTTATAAGTATATTTTATATATATCAAGGTATTTGTTCTTGACCTTTTTCCTTTCTTTCCTGTGTGGGATCAACAACCACTAGCACTTAACTAGGAGAGGTTTTTTTTTAAAACTTGTTGTTATTCTGATCTATAGTTGCGTCTTAAAAGTACTTTGCAAATCGTTTATAAGGGAAGTAGTTTCTTTGTGGGTGTATATGTGCGTGTGTGTACACATGCATGTGTGTGGGAGTGAGCGTGGGTGTGTATGTGTGTGGTATATTTTTAGGAAAGGACATTTTTTCCTAAAAAAAAGAAAAAAAAAAAGAAAGAAAAGTAAATCCAGGACTGCTTTCCTTTGTGACAACCAAAAAAATTCTATAACCTGAAAATGTTTCATGTTCTTTGCTGTGAATCTCTTAAAACAAGAAGCGCATTTTAGGGACAAAAAAGAAAAAGAAAAAAAACCACATCTGCTATCCAAAGATTTTAGTCTTTTTCAGGGTTTTTTTGTGTGTCTATGTTGCTTTATATAATGCAATATTTTGTAGTGAAAATAGATAAATCTGGTTTCTATCTGATGCGTTTTTCATATCTCTCATGAATGGTGAGCTGTTTTGCATATAAATAAAAGTATCAAATAAAAGCTGGTTTTTCCTAATTATTTTTCCCTGTTGGTCCTTCTGTAAGACAGACATGAGATGTCCTTATGAATAAGGATTGCAGAGGCTTCTCAAGTCGTGCCTGGGAAGCTTCAACAGGTTACCTGCCTCTTCCTAGGGAGACTCGGACTGCAGTCCCTCCAGCACAGCTCCCCTGCTCCAGCAGCTCTCAGCTGGCTGCCCTGCCCAAATGCAAAGGAGACACAGAACCCTTGCTGTCACTTTCTCCCGGTCTCATCATGACTGGCATCTGGTCACATGTTCCAAAGTTCAAGCTGTACAATCCAATCTGATGCTTGCAAGCACCTGTTTTGCTACCTCACTCTTTGAAATGCCTGGCTTTGCCACCCAAATGTTTGTGTTGTGTCCTGCCTGAGCGCACTGGGTTTTCTTTCTCTTGTTTAAATTCAGCTTTGATCCCTCTCAGACCAGGTCTTATTCTGCTGAAACCAAGGAAAAATCTTTTGCCCTTTCCCTGCTTTAGAAAACCTCAACCATAATCTTTCATACAAGGCTTCAATTGCCAAATCTTGTCATTTGAAACAGATACAGACTCAATGGCAGACAGGTTATTACCTGAGTAATGTGAGACTGTCTCATTCATTAAACCCCTTCCTTCTTTCCCACAAGGGGTTAATTTTACCTATAATTTGAATGCTGCCATTGACTCTGGTGGCTGCATCATCCGTTCTTACTTGCTGGAGAGATAAAACCCTCCCCTCTACCCCATTTTTATGGCTGACACTTTGCACAGCAATTTAATTAAGTGTGGTCTTGACCAGCTGAAAAGCTCCATGCAGAAAACCTGTCAGAGAGACTGTTAATTCCATTCCCTACAAATACATGCTTGCCATGTCCCAAGGGAGCACACCCTGGTTTGGTAGTTCAATGAACAGGTTTCAAATCCTGCATTTCAGGGCTGAAATAACTCCACCAACTTTGGAGCTGGCTTCCTTTGGGACAGGTTTGTTACTTAGGTTCAATATCAGGGTGCTGTGTTGAGTTTGATGTAATTGCCTGAGTGATATTATAAATCCTGCCATCCAAAAAGCCTTCATGCTACCAGCATTTGGGAGGACTTAGTTAATGAAAAGATAAACATATTATTTCCTTCTTGACCATTGGGAATGCATGTTTCAGGGGGAGAGAGGGCTCTGCAACACCTGCCTGTAAAGTATGATGGCTGCAGTCACTGGCAGTTGTAGGTGTCAACCCCACATTCCCCCTGGCCTCACATCCCCTTCTGGGGGTCTCGCACACGTGTCAGAGGCACAGGCTGAGATAATGCCTGAGTCCCAGGTTCCCAGCCACGTGACCCTGTGCCCAAGTGATAAGTCAGAAAGGCTGCTGTGCTGTGAGCAAAGAAGAGCACAGCATGGGGATGTGTGGGAACAGGCGCAGGAAGTCAGAAAATCTTGTGAGCTATTCCACTCTTACCATCCCTGAACAACAGAGAGCCTGACTGCACTCAGACACAGAGCCGCAAGGGCTTTGCTTTTGGTGGTATCCAAAGGGTCAGATCTCAAGTTTAACCTGCAAAAGTGTCAGGGCACTTGACCTGAAGAGATGTGCTTTTCTTCCCAAGTGTTATCTGATGTAAGAAATTGCTTTTTCCTACAAGTCCTGTCTCGCTTCCATACACTCAACACCTTGTTTAAATCCTGTCCCCACCATAACATCACCCCAGCTACTTCTATTTTTCCTGCTGGCACCAAGAAGGAAGCTCATTCCCATTTAGCAGTTGATGAGTGTTGAAAACAGAATGTAGGTTTTGCTCCCACATTCCACACCTTTTTTTTTTTTTTTATTCTTAAGGAGCTGAGTAGTATGCACAAGCTACAAGGCCCATGCAAAAAAACAAGGCTGCATGGCTAAGTGCTCAGAAGTCTGGATTTATGAAGAATGGGTAAACAAATTTAACTCCATCTCATTGCAAGTCTGGGTTAGATAGCAATAAAGTCTAATTATATAATCAAAGTTTGCCTATGTCTATGTTCCCTCAGCAATAAAGGAATGAATGACCTTGAATGACAATACTATAGGAGGAATGGGGTTGGAACTGCTGAATGGAAGTTTATATCACACTCAGTCATGACAATAATTGGAAGGGAAGAGACACAGTTAATATTCCCTTGTATTTTAGCTACATTCAGATACCTTTCTTGCACAACTGAAGAGGAGCTCATCCTACAAACCATGAAAGAAAGTGCACTTAAAAGACAGAGAAGGCAGAACACTACCTCCGGACCTTTAGCTGACTCTAAAAGAGGGACTTTAGGCCTGAACTGAATACAGTATATAAAACATTTAAAATATTATATAAAACATATATAAAACATTGAATGGAAACCTCCAGCATTCACAGAGAGCAAGTAGCTCTAATAGATAAACCTAAAATATCTCAGTACAAGAGATATCCAATGCATGCTAACATTGGGCTATAACACCTATTAAGACACATTTTCAGGCCTATATGGACTCACAGGGACATGGTGCAATACACACTCACATGGTATCATTAGGAAGCAGGGCAGCTAATGCATTCATCTGAACCCTGGGAACAGATCCTGACCCTGATTCAGCAAACGAGGACAGACAGCAAGCCAAAAGTATCTCCTCCGAATAAACATAATGGTTTTGACAGGACTGTACAGCTAAGGGGGAACTGTATCTCAGTATCATACAGTTTCCTAAGAGATTAAAAGATCTCCAGCACAAAATATTCCAAATTATAGACTTGAATTTATGCTGCTATTACATATGCACATGGAAAAGGAAGAATTTCTAGGCATAGACCATCACTGTCCAGCAAAGTGCATGGTACTGTGCATTCAGGATCACATTACTCCCCAGCCACAAAGTCATGTCTTATTGTTTGTGTTAAAAAGTGTTTGAGGCAGGTAGGATATGACCACTAATATGTACAGCAGATAAATTCTGAGGGCCTTGGATGTGATTTGATATCTTTGCTGCATTTCTAGCAAAGGGAATTTGTGTGTGATTGGGAAGAGATGGGGGGTGGGGAGCTGAAGAGGATGTTGTATATGAAACCCAACAAAGAAATGGATCTTTTCCATTATATAGCTGTGAAGAAATAGCAGAGACATTCTATCTATCTCTTCACATATCTATCCATCTAGCCATCCTGTAACCCAATTAACCCAGTTCTTTTAGGGTGAATAAATGTGTTCTAATATCAGCCATTATTTTTCAGTACTCTCAGTTTATTCTCCAGGGTGGGACAGATCAATAACCACAATAGCAACCGACCCAAAAGGAAAAGGCAATCTCCTGGCGCTTCTTATTTATTTCTTCAGAGCCGATTTAGTTTTTCCTGCCTCTTCCCCTGGTGACGGATTTTGCCTTTCCTGCCCAGAATGGCCGTGTTGTTTTATCCTGAGCTCTATTTGCATGTGAGCTTCAGATTCATCTTTGGCTCCTTGCACGGTTTGGGATGAGACCCTCCTGTCCCCAGAGAGGGGGGCAGGTGTTGCTCCAGTCGAGCGAATGGAACCAAATTACAGGACCGTCTGTCGCCTCCTCTGGGAGCCGGCAGAGGGAGGGGAGGAAGGGGAGGGGAGCGGGATGCCGTACGACAGAAAAGAAAAGCAGAACATCATACTGATGCCGATAAGAGCTTGGAAACACGAGTCACCCCAGCCCACAGCCCCACCCAAAACCATGCAGCAGCCACCTGAAAGAGAAATGTCAGGAGCAGAGACAGAAATAAATTGAGTCACTGGGCTGGAATAACTCAGGCTCAAAATGAAAGAGAATTCAGACCCCGTCCACTTTCAGACACAAGTGCAGGCACAAA